ACAATTTTTATATGGATTGCATATTGACCTTGTTAAATGCTCAGTAATTCTGGTGTTAAAGAGACGATTTTCAGGTAAAATTAGTCAATAAGGTGTTAACAGTTTTTCATGGTCGGGAAATTTCGCTGTGGGATGCGATACTGTGCGGCGTATTTAGAGGCTGGCACCAACAAGAAACAGGGACCCGGTTCTATCGACAGAAATGCAAAATCAAGCAGGCCAAAGTTCCTGGTAACGGAGTCCCGGGCGTGATTTATCTCGAGCCCGCAAAATAGTTTGTTCTGCACGTCTTGGAGAGTCATGAACTCGACGTTGCTGAGGAAACTTCGCCGGGCCAGCTCGATGACAAGCACAGTTCAATTCTCGAGTCAAGAATTTGTTTATACTTTCATCTTGATTCGCGGGAGACTATCGGGATTCTGTTGCAGACAACGAGCAACGATACTCGATATTTATTCTGGAACAATTCAATGCGTTCCCGGTAATTGCTGCTCATCGATACGGTTCGTTTCGTTGATAAACATCCGGCCCGGTTCCGACGGTGTTTATTAATAATTTTGTGTTGACCATGCTAACGGAAAAGAGGAATATCGAAAACAAGCGAATTTTAAAATCGAAATTTAATCTTGAAAAATAATAATGAGCGCTGCAAGGAGTAAATATTATAATTTATTTATCATTTATCCGTGAAATGCCGGGGAAAACGGTAAGTAATGTGGTTAAATGTGGGTATGTGAATAATGCGTAGTTTCCTTTTAAATAGTAAAAATAATGACAGGAAATTGAAAATTCGCAATAAAAATGTATTCTAGAGCAATATTTACAATAAACATTTTTCTCTTATAATCAAAGAACGTGATCACCAGAGTTTCTATTTTTGATTTTTGATGTTACATTATATTAACCTTAGAGAGCTCTTTGTGAAAAATTGCATGGAGTGATTCTTAGTTTCAGACAGAGCTGGGTAAAATATTATTTTATACAGAACATTGTAGACACAATATTTTTTCTTCAAATCGTGCGTATAAGTATGAAAATAAAAAGCTTTATTTGTGCACTACGTTTTAAAAATCGCGCGCGCGCGCGTGTGTGTACTATATATATACACTGTTTAATTTGATGAGCGCTACAAATATTTTTATCCACATTTTGAAATATGTGTGTTTACTTTTGCCGGATGTTTAGGTAAGTATCCATAGAATAGCTCAAACCATGAAAGTTTTCAGCGATGCATTTTGTTGCATACGAATGGCCATGCTTGAACTAGAAATAAAATGTATTATTACCATTTGTTTGCTCAATTTATTTTTTGCCAAAAAATATGCCAAAATACAAGTTTAAAGTATTTTATTTATTTTACACTTCGAATAATTTAAACAGAATTATTTTATTTACCGAAATGTTGTTTTCAATTTAAAATATTACTTTACCAATATTTTCTTTATGTTTCATCTTATAATTCGTTCTGTTTTTTAAATATTTTTTTCTAAATTTCGCTGTTTCCAGAATTATATTAAAAGCACCGTAACTAATTGCATAAGTTTCAGGAACAGTTCTTCCGCGTTTGAAGCGCAATTCAATGTTTACTCGTTGCTCCATTTTAAGACCATGACGTCAGGATGAACGCTAGGCTATCTCTTATTTCATTCACTATACAAACAACTGAATGAAATTAGTGCCGTTTAAAGCATTTAGAAGAAGGATGCGTAAGATGTCGTCAACATGCACAAATATGCTTTGAAAATATTAGCACTCGCGTCCAGCTACTGTCTGGAAATTTCATTGTCGGACTTTGTGTGTATGATCACTTTGTTTTTCACGTGCTCATATTCAGTCTTTTATGCGCTTCACCGCGCGCAAGGCTGCTCGGAGGAAGGAGAATCATCTTTAACTTAAAGTTTGGCTGTCAGCCAGAAGTCGCCCGATGCCGGTCATTTTTAAAAGTGGTGAAGATAGTAACGCTCTCCGAGCCGGAATAACGAAGTCTGTTTATAAACGGAGTCTTTGGAATTAATTTTTCCTAAAATACTTGCAGGCACACCTATGTACAGTCTAACATAGCACTTTAAAATTCTTTGATACATTCACCACGATTTTTAAATACATACAAATATTGTATCTTTTCTCGCATTCTTTCCTTTTTCAGTTAGCTAATTTATTACACTAAAAGATAGCATACACCGTAATTGTAATATTTTTATCATTCTTATCCAACGAATGTAACTGTTGAAACTTAACGAACCTCCTTTTATTTTTCTTTCTTAAAATTTTCTTTAGTCTTCCCTCGTTGAATACAAAGTTGCTCAACGCGTTCAAACAAAAGCTTCGTATGTGTCTTGATAATAAACCGGATGTTTCCCAGCAATTTAATATGTTGCTTTAACAAATCAGTAATACGTTGCGAGGCATATTAAACAATTTTTCATGTGATCTTCATAAATGAAAACCAGTGCTTTTACTCTTTCCCAGTTAATTCGCGTAACCGGAGAAAAGTGGTGGAATAACAAGCGTGGAACAGCGTGCAAGATTATCTTTTATTTCGTTTCCTTTCATAAATCACGAATGCTGCGAGTATACTGCAGACTTCGGAATTGCGCAACATAAACGGGTAAGAGATTTAAGAAACACCATTAAATATCAAACAATGCTCGCAATGAAATTTATCTCGAGGAAAGAATGCGAGGTCGAATTACGTTTCCCAGCTGGTTTCAACTGAGAAACGTATGAATTTTGACAAACACTTGCAGCGATATGTGATCCCGAATGATTGATCGATACCGTAATTCAGGTGCACACACACGTTTCGAAGTTTATCATTCGCATTATCGGTTTATTTGATATCGCGCTGTACATTTGTCTTGCGTTTTGACGTTTGTTTTCTTTGCGTTAAGGTACTTATAAGTTATTCCAGCCCTCCGGGGTGAGTTTCTTGCAGTATATCCACTGCGTCGAGGAAATCCAGATGTTCTTTAAATTTGTTACGAACTCCGCCCCGCTTGTTTTTGAGGAATTTAATGCTGGTAATTAAATAACGGCTAATTGCGACGGGCCCGACGTTTGTCGAAGTTGTAAATCGCATACAAATTGTCCGTACCGTTGTATCTAATTTAGAGTTCATCTTTGAGCTGCAAAAAGCCACGAAAGTTCTGTTCGATTAAGGTGAATTCGTTTTGTCGATGGTTCGTTTCAACAATTTCTCGGATACGGTATTCTCTATGATTAGTGGAACGCTTTAGTTAGTTAAAACTTTATTATTATTTTACTCAATGGTCTACTATAACATTAAATGATACATAACAATATATAGACAGTACTTTACTCATGATATTTAAAAAACAATAAAACGATATAAGTTTGAGCATCGAATACACGAACTAAATATCATAAAAGGAAAATTATTGAAAAAAAGTAACAACTAAGATTTTTCATTTCAATCCATTCTTCAACGCACACACAGGAAAGCGGTACATAATCAATCATAAGACATCACATATACAAGTATAACACATATTTGTTACACCCATCATTAAACCGTATCACCAAACTTTGTCTACCGATTCCAACTTCTAAATCAAACGTACACTAAAATAGCTCCATATTAACCCCTTGTCTTATAATTTCTTTTGCAAGTGTGCTTAATGAAAGTACTTTATTGTTAAAAGAAAAGAAAAGATCTTGATACTTAATCTATGCCTACGTTCGCTGTGAGGATTAACGATACATAATAGAAGACTAATAACTTGTGGTGAAGATTTTAAATAGAATTTAACAAGCATGAATATTACTCGATTCCTTCGTGTGCAAATTAAATATTACTTTTCTATTATTGTAAAGTACTCCGATTGTCACGAACACTTTTTCTAAAATTCTAACAGACCCTCTGGAACACGACTTTACGATACCTGGACTGAAGTGAAAAAACTAGAAAATGGTTGATTTCTACGCTGAACCCTTATGTGCCGCATATTGGCTGCAGGCCGGCCTGCTAAAGTACCGGACGGAAAGCTGATGGTCACGAACGTCTCTAAGAATAATTCCCGTGTCATAAAATTGTCCCCTTGTTGTCCTAATAATTATCAATTATTATACTTTGGAATAACGATCAATATAGAATATGCTTATCATTTTATTCTTTTCCAGAATAAATTATTAATGACAAAGTAGCTGTACCGATCACAGTTGGGAAATGAATCGTAGGAAAAGAGGTTGATTCAACAACTATTCTACACCTATAACCAGTAACAAATCTATAATACAAACACATTGCAAAAGTGATCGCAACAAATATCCTACTCCGAAAAGTTACTGTTTCCACGTCATCCTCTCAGCAAAAGATACAAAGTACCGGTTGACGCAACTTCCAACAAGAAAATAAAACACGAAGTAGCTTTCGATTAACCCTCGAGGAAGAAAAACACGTGAACTTGTAGAGTACACAGCCTCGAAAAGTATCGGTGCAGCAGCGCGTTCGTGTACCATAAACCCAGTCACCGCGGTTGGCCGAAAGAGGCCAGAGAGCATTCGGTTCCCAAGGACGCGGGTGCCAGATAAAGGAGGCAGGAAGAAGCATTTTTTAAAGAGATTCAAGGACTATCGGCGCCCGTGGCACGCTCGAGTGTCCGTTCCGGCCTCCTCTTACGAGAAAATCGATGTCGACATCGAATCGAATCGAATTTCCGTTATGCGTCTCGATGACGAGCGCAGCTGAGTAAAGTGGTATATAAGAAGAAGAATCGGGATAAGGGGACCGGTCTCGGGGTTCAGTGAGCGCCGAGTCGGGACCGACGTCTTAAGGTAAGTTCGAAATCCGTGAAACCTCGGCTCGATAACGCTATAAATCTAGAGCGATCCGTTTCCCTCTTTCTCCCCCTGCTCTTCACCCCTTTCGTTCTTTCTTTCCGAGAAGAACCCGTTTCTTTCTCTGTTCCCAACCGCGGCTGTAAGGTGTTACCTTAAGCCGCGATCGATCCAGCCGAGTGACAAACGTCCGTGAATAAAATTCGACGTCGTTCCGATGCTCGGACGACGGCGCGGCGCGGTTCTGTTCCTTTTTCATGCCTCCCACCACCGCCACCCCCAATCTCGCCCGGATGGACGATCCTCGCCACGCGCCGCTTTATCCAGCGATGTTTACCGCGACCGACGCGAACATACGGGGGAATGCATCCGGGCCGAATGTCCTACTTCGAGGACGCGTGCCATATTGATTCGCGTTCGAAAATTTGCTCCGCGCGTACGGCTCGCAACACGGCACGTTCGTGGGTCTCCGTGTAATAAGGGAGTAACTTAACCCTTTGCACTGCGGAAGCTTATTTGGTGGGAATACTCAAGGTTCTGTGGTAAAATATAGGCGACTCTTTTTCGAAGGTATCTTAACTAAAACTACCAAGTAGTTAAATTAATTTTATAGAATTTTTATAGAAACTCCAAGAGTGCATCTGTTGAAAATTTAATTGATTTACAATTCAGTTTGCATATTACTAAATCAATTTCTTGAATCATTTCTCAGAGAAAGATCTGTTGGTTTTATAATAATTGCAAAAGGAAGAAATCCGGAATGGGTAATTTTGACCCGTCTGGTAGTTTTAGTGTTAACGGGAAATCATACGTAAATTAGGAAACAATGGTATTTTATTTCGATATTTTGTTTGTTTAATATTGAATATCAAACTTTGTAATTTTGTTACATCAATCTATATGGCGAGTAAAAGTTACCTCTCGGGTGTAAAGAGTAAACCCTTTGCACTGCAAAAGTTTCTTTAGTAAAAATACTCAATCTTTCGTGATGAGAGGTAGAATCTAAAAGTCAACAAGGAGTCAAAAGCGGAATCAAATTTTGTTTGAAAGTTTCACGCATTGACGTTTGATACGAAGCTTCACATTGAATATCAAACTTTCGATGTAAATGAATATCAAAAGTTCGACTGCAGACATGAACCGGTTTTGATTTTGAGAATTTATTTATGCCCTATTGCAAATGCGGATAACTGAAATCAAATCACCACTTCATGAAATTAATAATTCAAGGAAAATGTTGAATATATCAGAACGTACTTATGTTACAAGCCAATGTTAGGTTATCCCGAAAGTTGTTCCGAAACGTTATTGTTTTATGCACAGTCCAATCATATATTCTCAGTTCGATCAATTATTGATTCGATTTAGTTTATACATTACTGGTTAAAATTATTAATAAAAGAGGAACTTTCTACAAGAACATAGTTACAACATATTTGTAATTTAAATATATTGAAAAAGATCGATTTGTATTTATGTACTTCTAACAACTAATATATATTACGTAATTTACGACGAACAGTAGGCGCGATTTGTTGAACAGTTTCGGTAGCAACGGGCGAAACAAGTCTCGCTTGAACTCGCGTGACCATTAATTATCGTCGATCTACAAACGCGTTGCGGTGTTTTACACTTAATTTCTAAGACAGAAACATTAGTAACAATACTAATTGCTCAGGAGTCGAAGAGAACTTAAAGCGAACGACTTCATTAAAAATTAAAACAGAATACCGTGTACGGTGCTCTAATGATTATACACTCCAGTTATACACACCGTGATCCGAGATATAGAGAAACGAGCTTATAGCCAGGAAGAAATCTCCATTCCAACCACTGGATGATTTTAATTGATTCCATTCGACTCCGTCCGACACTATCGAATTGCGTTCGTTGCTGTTTTAACCCGGAACGATTTAAATCGATCCAATTGAGAGAATGGATACTATTAAGATTCTCTGTTGCGAAACGTGCGCTGTTCGCTCCTTTCGAATTCTATGGACTGATAAAAAGAAATATTGATTTTTACACTGACCCTCGTAGGATCTAGTGATTGTGTTCGGTTTAAAATCGCGAAGCTGCGATAAAAATGCTAGGCACAAAGAAAATAATTACCGTTCGATTAAATTAATCGAATATAACAATTTCATTTCATTCATATGAGTTTATTATTCGTAGCTCAAATTATAACCAAATTACTTTATTATAGTTGAGAAGAATAAATTAGATATTATCATAGAGATTCATAATAGTAACATTAGATATTATATTACGTAATACTAATTATTATAGTTAGTATACAGCTTTTTAATAATAATATTAAATCAATCTTCCATTTTTCAATTTCTTTCACTATTTATCTTATTAAGAATGTCATATCGATGGTATATAATTTGCGAAGAAGAATTAATTTACAAATTAAAACACTTGCATTTAGTTATTTAAATCAAATTAACAAACGTTTATTAAAAAACTGTAATTTTGGGAACACTACGATTTTTCTCAACCGAATAAATATTAAAAGCGGTATACATCGAAACGGGGACACATCACGTTTCGCCATCTGACCACAGAAATATTGACAACAGAAAAATACTACTTCATTTCGACTCGAATGAAATGAATAACATTCATATATATTAAATTTGTGTCGAAATCTTCATCATAGATCTGATTCGAAAATATAAGGCAAAGGTTACATTAACGAGAGGATATTTTTAAAAAATTTGGAAAACTTCTTGAATGTAAATTAGCTACGGACACAATTATTAAAAATAAATTTAATTATTTCATTTTTCAGTGGTCTAATATCAAAGGTTTACAAATTATGAATTTCTGAAAGCTCTTTCAATTTCAAACATTTTATTTGAGTACTTTATAATATTGCAATAACGCAGTAAAAAATAAAAAATTTTTTTCAAGCTGTTACATTGTAAGTAATTGTGAAAGTATAATTATTTTTCAAGTTTCAATTAAATATGCATATTTAAGGAAGCCACAGTAAAATGTTTAAAAAAGTTTGCGATATCCACATGGAAACAGATTCAATCTAGTGGAAATGATAGTAGGAGCAGCCGTTACAATTATCGTTATTTAGTCATCAGAAAGCTGTTGTGGTAGCAGAAAATATACTTCTCGAGATAAGATACCATCAAATAAATCGTCTGCATCGGTGGATAGAGTAAACGAGGAACTCGTATCATGGCTGGACACGCACAAATCTGCAGGTGTGGTGTGCCCATATCAGTCACGGCAGTGACCACAATGATCTTAGATCAGGTTATTTATACACACCATTTAGAAAATTTTTGATTTCCATTTAAATGGTATTTCATTTCATTTCTGTATTTCGTACGGAAATTTCAATATTTTATTTCAATTTTTTAAAGTTGTTAATAAAACGAAAAATGTTAACACGACCAATTTGACGTTTGATCAGATATTACTGTATTCATTTCCTTTTACCTTTGACTAATTAAAGGCGTAATAATATTTTAAAATATCGATCTGAAAGTGACTGAACATCACAACCTGACTGCTCCTTTTTTAAATCTCCATTTCATGGTACTAAGGATATGAACCTTTCATTCTTAATACATTCTTAAATACTTTAACTGTCTCATAATCCGTACATGGATAACTCACTTTTCATTCAAAGTTAAAAATTGTATTCTATTATAAAATTGCTACAGAAATTAGTTTAATTACAATCCACGAGGTGTATTCCTATACAAATTAGAGTAATTCCTTTAGCTATTAACATCGTGAACCGTAGAAACCCGTACCATAAAGATTCCTTTTATGATTAAAAATGCCATTAAATCCGTATCGAGATATTCGCTCGCTGATTTCGATAAATACATATTCTACAGAAGCAAATTGATCGTCACGATTAAATATTTCCCATGTTCGATATTCGAACGTGAAGAAGAAAGAGAAAATTTATCTAACCGTCTCGAAGAGCCATTCTGAATATCAACCTTGGAAAGAATCCGTCGATGGCCTGAATAGCTCAATCTGTTAGGACAGTTGTCCGGCAAACAAAAGATCCAAGTTAGAGTCCCGGACAAGCAATCCAATCGGCAGTTTCTTTTTCTTTTCTCCAGCATCTCATACTGGAAGCCATTCTATTTGTACGCGGTACGAGGCTCGTCATCGTATATTAATCCCAGAGAGGAAAGGAAATCGTTTTGTTTGTTGTTAATTTAATTAAGGATTCGATAATATCATAAATCGTTGCAAAATAATTACTATAAATAATATCCTGATTTATCCAATTAATCGTGCTAGTGGAATATGAGATGTAATAATGGCCTAATAACAATAATGTAGGATAAAATTATAATTACTTTATTACACACTAAAAAGACACAAAGATATTTCAACCACAGTAAAAGTATTAAATTCGCAAGTTTAGTTACCTGCAAGCAATAATATTAGTTGTT